ACGGGGCCGGCTTGATGATGAACAGGGTCCACATAGCGGCCATGAACACGCTGGGCCGGCACCAATACTGAGTGAGCTTGGGCCATCCTCTGTCAGCCAGTTTGTCGACTACACATGCCTTGGCTCCAAGTCAACGGCGCGCACACTTCGTCAGTGGTCCAGTGCGATGTGCGAGCTAGGGGAAAGGGTAAGATGCACCACTTCGTTCCAACGACAATCGCTCAGGACGCCGGAGCACAGTTCCCTTCCGCAACCAAACAATCAAACGGTCCCGACAGACTGGTAACGAACATGACGGGCACGCTCGAGGTCGGGTTCTGTGTCCTGAAGCGCGATCACGGTATGACGCCGCCGGCGCGTCGCACCGTATTAAAGGCAAAGGCGTCGCCGTGGTGGTATGGAACCTGCTCGTGGTGTGCACACCGGTCTTTCATCGTTGTGAATAATCGCCCGTCATTCTGAACACCCTCGATCCTTTTCGCTCAAACTGACGTCATGTTTCCCCCTCGGCAACGGCCTCGGCGACTTGGCCAATCACAACGTCTACAACAGATGCAGCAGAATCCGGTCCGGCATCATGAAGTCAACCCGACGACACAAGCGGTCCGGGCTCTACAACGGCGCAGAGGGCCTTCCCGCAAAATCCAAGGCCGACAAGAGATGGACCCCTCAAAGCCATGGGTGGACCAGGCGTCGGCAAGTCCAGACGATTCCACTACTTCGCAGAACCGTGACCGGCACGAGGTTCAAACTGTAGTGTATGTGGCTACCCGGAGACTTCAACCTGACGCAAGGCAAACAAGAGGCTAACATGTCCAGCCCCCCGTCTTTGATGGGGGTTTTACAACAGGTTTTCGATCAGCTAGATTATGCTATCGTGGCGATTGACACCGCTGCCGACAACATAGAAAAGAAAGACGCGAGGCAGCTCAAAACAACTAAATGGCTGTGAGTGGATCTATTCCATCTTCCTAGCACAGGGGACTGACATGGTGCGAAGGGTGGACAACGTAGATTGGGAAGTAAAC